TGAGTGATCAAAATACTTCCAGTCTCTAAAAATATCTTGTATTTAACCACAAAAATACAGGCCAAGAAGCCAAGAGAAAGAATGGTGCTCTTGAATTACTAGTACAATACTTCTCTCAATCAACATTGTCCCAGAATAGCATTAGAAACCACTGTCCAGGTAAGAGAAAACTGATAGAAAGACCTGAAGCACAAAACCGTGTATTGAAATTTTAGAAATTTTACCTCCAGCTCTGCATTCACTCCAAAGCCTGTACCCTGTGGACTTACCACTAAACAGTATGAAACGCAATACTAATACATGTTCCAAATTGTACTTCAGGAGGGCAAATCCTATATTGTACATATTCTGCTGTACATGAATAGCGACAAATTTCTCATCTGGGGCAGCTTGAAAAATCAGCTTAACTCTTCTGAAAGACCACCTACTGCACTTTAAAATGCCACAATAATTGTCATTTAAAATCAAAGGTAAATGCCATGCATATACAAGAACAATGCAAATGCAAATTTTGGGGACAGAGATTCATCCTTTGAAAATTTCACTGACAGGGACAGTCTGTACCTGCCTGTGGAGGTAGAGTAACAGGTCACATAGTTTTCAATTAACGGTACATTTCATATTCTCTTTTGTTAAAGAGGTCATGGATGGCAGCAGAGAGGAAAACTGCTGGCTGTGTTTCAGATAAAAGAAAGATGAAGCTGGCTCGTTCCCCAAGATGGAATGGGGAATCTCGGTTCGGAAAGCCGCCTCACATGCAGAGTGGGGAGAGGGACTAGCAAGAAAGGAGGCTGCTGCACCAGTGCTGGCTGGGAGACCCTAGGGAGGAAAAGAGAGTTTGTCTGAAGTAGGACACAGGTCTACAGTGCAGGCTCAGATGATCCACAGAAAGTTGGATCAGTTTTTGGATCAGAAAGCCACTGAAGGTTGCTGGAGCAGACTGCAAGGAAACAACTCATCCTGCAAAGATGCTGTTTACAGGAGATGGATTTATTTTTAAGCCTTTCTGCCCTGCCCAGCTGATCCAAGTTTCTTAAAGAAAAAAACCTTATTCTAAATTAGCAATTTTTTGACATCATTCCAACAAAGTGTGGCTTTAGAGAATAAAAGTCTGTAGGTGCGCTCACTGTAGGGAAGATGGTGGGACAGCTCCGGCACGAGGTGCTGGCCTGACTGGTATCCTGCCATGGCACTGCCAGAAGCAGCAGGTCTGCAGGTAATCCTCAAGTTAAAAATGACATTCCTAGGGGAGGGAGAATAATGCCATATCCTCAAATTAAGGCACCTATATAGCGCTGAGGGACACAGAAGGGTGGGTTTGTTATTCTACTTCCCCCTCCTCCCCCTTTTTTTTAAGAGAGAGAGGGAAAGATAAAGGGAGAAGGAAGGAACATGAGGGTGACATAACTGCACAGAGGTCATCAATAAAGCGCTTGGAGGACCTGTGGGACAAAAGTGATTTTCTTCTATCTAAGTGAATGATCAAAAGTAAAAAAATGTGATTTTTGGCCAACTCAGAGGCATCTAGTAGAGCCGAGGGGAGAAGCTAATGGCCCTGTAGAGAAACTTAGCAGAGACAGAACCTGCTTCGAGGAAGGAAAACAAGCCTTCCAAAATGCTTACAGAGCACGTCAAAAGAAGCAGGAAGATGCTAGGGTACCAGAAGGACACAGGGGTGCTGTGCAGCCTAGACTGCTGAAACCAAAGAAGAAGAAAACAGGTATTATCCGCAGTGGGTCTTTTCAAGACTCACAGCACCACTGCCCTCAGCTGTGGCACTGCTGGGAGAGAGAAAAGGCTGATAACCCTTCCCATGGTGTGCACTCTCGGGAAGCAACATAGAGTGGGTACTATTTCATGAAGACGAGGGTCCTGAAAGGCAAGTGGAAAATGAATGTGATCTGACTGCGACCAGGAACGCACCTGGGCAATATGCCCAAGGAGGGGAAACTGGGTGCTGGATTACCTAGTGCCAGTACTAAGTAGGCCAGGTTTACCATGTCTTGGTCTGAGTGCAGTTTAATTTTGGGAAGGAGAAAGATGAATATGCCCGCTGTCTCAGCCTAGAGACACATGGCACAATGCAAAAGCGATGGAGAAGGAGAAAAAAGAGGGTCCTCTTTTGGACACAGAACACGCCTGAAATGAAACCAAGGAAGAAGACCTCAATATAAATTAAGAAAATGCTGTTATGGGGATGGCTCAGCTAAATTATAAGAGAAGCCTGGCACCAACCTTTAGCATTGTAACAACACACTTGATAGATCTGTGCGAAAAACAAAACAGATTGGTCAATTCAATGAAGTCTAGAAATAAAATTCTGTTAATTTAAAAAAAAGGGTGTGTTTTTTTTGTTTTGTAGCTCGGTACAGGTGAGTCTGGATTTTAGCAAGCTTTCTGATATATTTGCCAGATGCCTCAACACTGATTTATGGGCTGCTTGGCAGCAGCAGAAAGAGGTATTTCATTCTCTGGCACATTTCAGTAAAAATTTGTCAGCCGGGAATGGAACCACAGCACCACTGAAAAGAAAGCGTTATAGATGCATTAAAAAAAACAACTCAATTCTACTTATATAATTTTACTACATATACAGTTGGAAAATTCACCTTTAAAAAAGGTTATCTTAAGGGGGAAGTTCCAGTTCATGAGGTAGAGTTTGTCACCGCAAGAATATGATACACAAACAAAAACTGCAGGGAGGAAAGATAACCAGGATGTTGATCCTGCCTAGGCAGAAAGATGCTTGAGCGACTAACCTCAAGAAGCTCCTCTTGGGTCCTCCTTTCCGTAACAACAGCTAAGGCATCTTAGAACACATGGAACTGTAATATTCACAAAAATGGACTGCCTACAACGTGAGCTGAAATCCTTGACAACTCCAGGTGTTTAGCATTTCTGAAAATCAGCTCTATGATACGCCCTATTTGCTAAAAAATATTCAGGAACAAGAGAAATAATGACTATTATTACTGTTTCTTTGGAGTTCAATGATGAAAGCCAAGGAAAACATATAAAGATCACAGCTGAAATGGTTCAAGAATTAGTCATAACTTCCCTGTCATATTGGCATGTTTGGACTTCTTTAAACTGCAGCAAATTTGTATTGCAGTTATAAAGTACAATTCCCCAGAATCACCCCACAAATAAATTAAATCTGAGCAGCACTGCATAGCCATTACAGGTTGGCTACATATATAAATTTAGCAGGTAATTATTTTCAACAGACTTTTTCTACCTTTTTTAAATTAATCTTTGTTTATATCACATGTTCTCCAAGAATTCCATAAAATATTAAAATATGGAGGTTGTGCAAGCTTATTATCCATAATTTACCGAATATTTTGAATGGCACATCGTATTAAGACAGCTCCATTTTCACATGTTTAGCCTTACTTTCCTAAATGAAATTTGCCTATTTAGGAAGGAAAGAAAACTTTCAATTAAAAAATAATAATCAAGCACAGAAAAGGTAACCATATATAGTCTAATTCATGGCATTACAAACCATGTTTATACTCAGTAAATTCAACTGTAAAGAGTTTATTGTGATGTCAATAAGTAGGGATAAGAGACTATAGAAGAAAACTTAGCATGAATGTGGTTTGTGAACCCTGTAGAGGAAGTCCCACAAATAAAGGAATAAGATGTTAAATAATAGAGACTATGACATACTGTAGACTGAATGTGGAGGTGGATCATGAGAGAAAAAATAAAGGTCTGTTATTAATCCAGATTAGATACCCTGATATACTTGCTTCAGCAGTAATTTCTACTTTAAATTCCTAGAAAACAACAAAAAACCACTAAGAACACACATGCAGCATCCTGCTTCCTGAAAGCTGAACACAATACATTGAACAAATCTAATTTCATGCCAATTTTATCAACTGTAACACGAACAAAAGCTGAACAAGCAGGCTGGTCTTGCAGGTAAAGCATCAGTCTTGAGTTCAATCCCTGGGCAATCACACCAGGTTTACACTATTCACCAACCTCTACCTCTATTTGCTTTACAACATTTTGTCAGTGAAATCTCTCTAGTTTGTACAGTAAGTGATGGGCGTGATTGCCTTGTTTTAACGACTTGCAGAACACTGCTGTAATGAAGCACTAACCCTGAGATAGCACTGGATACAAAGAATAAAAAATTATGATCAAAGTATCTATTTGTGGAATTCTGTAATTAAAAGCAGAGGAGGAGAAGTATGCTGTAATGATAACAAGCTTGCAAAAATGAATAAAAAATATGCTCTTAATGTACAGAAGCAGAAATAATTTTGTCATGACTGTTGAAATAGTTCAAAACCAAGGAAGTGATTATTTTTCAAAGACAGAACACGAAAATAAAAGTTCAACGATCCGCAGTGTTTGGATGAATTTCAGCTAAAAAAACCCACCAGAAACCTAAACAAAATAAAAAAAACCCCAAACCCCAAGATGTTTGCTTACCATACCATCAGAATTCAGGGGCAACAATGATTTATGTAAATTATTGTCCTCTTCCTTAACTGCATATGTGTTTGTGAGTCAAGCATCTCCCAGTTCTCTTGCTGGAGCTACTAATCTGCCCAGTAAATTCCTGGAACCATCTTAAAATCTTTGATTTGTCACTTCATGACCCCAAAATTACTTGCAATAGAAAATGTGAGGATCAGGAGTGGCTGCTCTGCTTAGATCCTCGATCTGGAAGATGCAAGTGCTACTGCCAGCCTAGGAATGAAATGCTAAAGCAGAACAAAGCCATTGCTTTTCTTCTGGAGATTAGGGTATGACAGATCATGAAACATTGCATGATGTTTAATTATTTTAACAATTTCTTGCAATATAGCACTAAGCTGTCACATAAAATGTGACTATGACACATAAGAGAAAGAATTAAAGAAATTGTGCTAGAAATGTGAGAATAATTGTTTTCATTGTGCTCATCCTGCTGCAAACTGGAAAAAAACCCCAACAACAAACCCACAGAACAGACTGATTGTTTGGAAAGAACATACCTATTAACTCCTTATTTCTGACATCTAAGGCCATGTTTCGTAAAGCTGTAGCAACTGCACATACCACCCGGTCATTGTCTATTCGAAGAAGTTCCACCAGGATTGGCAATCCTTTTTCTTTGCGGACAGCAGCACGGATATACACTGACCACTGTAAAGACACATGGGAGAGCGTGAAGGAGAAAGTGAGAAATCCACTACAGAAAGCAAGGCATCTCAGGTTATAACAGATACAGGGTAAGTGGTGACAGGAGCATGTGGATGCAAACTCAAAAGAGAGGAAATAATTGCATTTATGATGCTAGGCAACCACTTGATTTGGAAATCTGCACTAATTTTTTATGGTGGCAGAGAAATTAAATGACGAATTGACTCTACTCCTAGCACACCTGGTTACATTTTCACAGCCCGAGTCTGCAGACCACTTGCTTTGCATCCGCATTTTCTATGCAACATCTGATGATGCTTGTTCACTGCTAAAACAACAGAATTTATATTACAAAATATATATTACAAAACATGTTGAAGAGGTATGAGTATTTCTTTGTTATTACCGTAAGAACTATGCAGTCTAAAACCAGGAAAATGCTGTTATAATTTCTCTTGTGATTGTGAACTTGTTCAGAAGGAAAAACGAGGACAACTATACTTCTGTTTTTGGCACCTGTAGTGGTCCTAACCAGAAGACTATTGTACATCGGGGAGTTGGAGATTCACGTAAGAGTTGACCTGAGGCAGGCGCAGGCCTGTGCTGTGCCGTGCTGCATGTACCATGTGGCTGCAGGATAAACCCAGCAGCCGATTGTATCGGAGAAGCCTGTAGGCATCTCCCACTTGGCAGCTGGCCGTGACACTACTGGCATGCCCCTGTCTTTATCTCAAAGCGAAGCAGCATGTTCTTACATGAACATCCTTTTTGTCTGACAGTAGAAATGATTAATACAGTTGTTTACTTCTAAGAAAATCCTCTAAGAGCTCTAAAGACTATCATGCCAGTGAACTCCTCCATGGATGGGATCTGTGCAGTGTACCGTGACTAGGAGGTCCATCCAATGCTGCACAACTTAGGGTTTCCAGCATCTGAAGGGATGAAAGATTAACTATACTCTCCTCTTTTTCATTCCACTGTTAGCTCCAGAAGTTGGAAAAAATGTAAACAAGACCAAAACTGTGACCTTGTGGTTTTAAAATCTATGGGTATTGCCAAATTTGAGATGTTTGGACACCTGCAGGATGTGCAGGTCTTCTCCGCACAGTCCGCTTCAAAACAAGCTGTCTACTAGGCATATATTCCTTCCCACATCCTGAACTCTTCTCTGGAATTTTCATAAAGTTCACATTCATGCTCCTCATACTGACAGTTGAACAGAATTTACTGAAGCAGAGCTTCTCCCTCCTTTCAGTGCTATGGCATGGATGCTTATCCTGCCATCATACCTGGAAGGGGAAGACAAAGTTCTGGAAGCCCTTAGCCTTTGAAATATTTCAAATATTTCAGAAACTAGGATGATAAGCCTTAGGATTTTCAGATTGTGATGACCGTTCTCTTTGGACAAACCTTCCTTAAAGAACAGTTAGATCACACCTTAAAGAACAGTTATCTTGCAATAGCGTTCCTCCATAAACAGAAAGAGTAAAAATAAAATTCCATGAAATAAAGCATTAGAAAATCATAGGCACGCTCACTGTCAGCAGACCATGCTTAACCTCTGCATATGGCCTCTACTTACCACAGTTGAAGTGCTCGCTTTAAAAGCTAGCATCTGTTTATGCTATAGACACGTGCCTTGAACAGCAAAAGCCAGAATATATTTCAGAAAAACAAATGTAGATAAGAGTGGAGTGCAAATTCGAGTGAAGTCATTCAGGGGAAATTGGGAAAAAGGAAAAGAAAAGAACATTTAAAAGGGGAAATTGGGAAAAAGGAAAAGAAACCGGCATTTAAAGAATATTATTTTATTAATATTTTATTTTATATTAATTATTATTTATTATGCATAACAAACGCTAGCTGGCTGGACTTTGCTGTAGACGAAAAGTGATAAAGGTTACGATAAGCCTTCAAGTCAGGTAAATGGGACATGGGGTTCTCAGCATCACTGAGCACAGTAATGTGTCTAAAATGTAAATGTGCCATCATTTTCTGCAGCAAAGCAAATAGCTCTTAGGTGAGAGAAGAAGTGGTAGCAGGATTCTTGACTGATCTTATTCTATGCTCTCCCCTCCAGTCTTTTCTCTAGAACCAGCATATCTTCTCTAGAACCAGTGTATAGGATGATCATCAGATAAAAAACTAAAACACATCTTAAGGATCAGTGAGTTTAACTGAAAGTATCTGCTGAAAAATAATTTCTTTCCTATATCTTGATTTTAATGGGTTACTAAATATAAAGGATGCTATGAAAACACCAAATTAATCTATGTTTCCCGTTTTAATAAACATGTATTTACCCACCAGTTAAACACACTCTCACCTGCAGCTGGGAGTACCCAAAGCAATAGCTCTTTGCACTTAAAAACTCCCATCGCTGGATTTTCTACACCTCTCCCAGGGGAGGCCTCCCCTGTGTCTGCTGTGATTACAAGGTGACTGCTGGAGTGAGAGTTCATGGTAGCAGTGAGACTATTTTGAGAAAGCAGTGAGCCTGTCTGGTTGAGGGGCCAGTTCAAGCTAGCAGACAGTATATTGAAAGATGCTGTCGTTCATCGCAGAAGTACATCACAGATGTAGTGCCTCCAATAGGGATTACATGGGGAATCACCGGGGGTGTTTGTTTTTTAAAAAAACCTTATTTGTGTCTATTCAATACCAGAGAGAATCTAAAATGATCTTGTAGATTATTAACTATGTTATAAAACCCTCCATATTAAAACCTCAGTAAACAGTTTTCCTTCAAATTTTTTTAGTCAGCTACCAAGGGAAAACACAAGCACTTGTTTTATGAAACCCAGGTTTAGAACAGACTTCTTGGATTGTAGTATTTTCACCATCCATTCCAAAACAAAAGCCTAAAAGAAACAAACTAAGAAATGGATTTTTGTAACCCTAGGCAGAGCAGAAGACATTGTGGGAGAAACGCTGAAATAACTTAGTATGAAAAAAAGAGAAAATATAAACCTCCTTACTGAATAAATGACACGCAAGCCTTCAGCATCTGTAACGAACCAATTAATTTGATCACAATAGTGAAATATACCACTCTGAAGTTTTCATAGGGGAAAGATCCAGATATAATGTTTTCCAGATGCACATATGCACACACATACATAAAACAATGGGAGAAAGAGAGAAAAGTATGTATGAAACCTCTCCTCTACCCTGCGCATTCCTCCCCCCCCCCCAGTTCTCTCTTTCCAAAGAACGCCATCCGCTTTGGGAAAAGTTCACAGACTCCTCAATGTGTGATTTGAGATCATTTCATCTGCGTTTTCGAGTCATGCACCTTAGGCAGAAAGACAGAAACGTCTATTAATTGTTTCTACAGTCTCCAGAGAACTTTCCATGTGGAAAGTGGTAAGAACTGTCTGTGTCTCTTTCCTTAAGCTGCCAATTAGGACAAGTCTCTGCAAGCAATTACGCTGCGCTGTGCAGATTTCAGCAACGCTCAAATTGAGATGCCTCAAAATGGCTCTTTTATTCTCACAGAGGATGGAAAAATTGATTCGCTCTTGCGTATACTGATGATCCTCTTGTTTGCCTAAAGCCATCGTGAAACGCGCCTACATTTCCACGTTGCAGGTCAATTGCTAAAATAAGCTCAATGAATTGTAAAAGAGAGGAGATGAAAAATCATAAAAAAGAAAAGAAACAAAGGGTTCGTTGCCTATCAGTAGGTAAATGAGGCACTCTGTCAATATACTTAATCATCCTGTTATGCCACAAATCAGTGGCAGTGTCAACGATCAAGTAACTGTTCAGTTTGTAAAGAGAAAGGGCTCCTATGGGAACAGCAAACACTTTGGAGGGAACAAGGAGCCAAAAAATAAAATAAAATCATTATTGTTGCATTAGATTGTGGCTAAATTATCAGAGACAAGCACAGGAGCCACAATCTGTGCATGAATACTCTTTACAGATAATTGAATTCGGAGGACATAACTACTATACATCACTTTGAAGGTACCTAGTGCATCTCTATGTCCACTTTCATTAGTAGTTCCCTTTTCATTTTTGTCATAGTAATTAAGTAGAAAAATACAGTAAACTGGAAAATTATTTTTTAGTTTGTCACAGTTATTATTATGAAGCACCCTTTCCAGAGCTGAATGCCTCTAGGGATTAAGATTACATTAGGCTGAAACTCAACAAAAGTGTAATTAATCTAGATAAAACTTATTTTTTCAGAAAAATTGAAAAGCATTTAGGCAGTTAACTCCTTTTAGTGTTTCATATGGTTTTCTTTATTCTCCTATGAAGCACCACCACAGGAGACCAAACTAAAAAATGAAGAAATTTCCAGCACAAAATGAAAAAAACTGACCAAAATAAACCCACAAAAAACCCCCAAGGAATACCAACAATTGTATACACTTGATATTTTGAATGGATTCACTTTCCTGCCATTGACATCAGTGTTATCAGAGTACCTCCAGAATATTTCACCATCGCATACTTCAGTTTTGACTAGAATTTGCGTTGTATTGGTACAGTTCAACACTGTGACCCGAAGACTATTGAGGTATCAAATATTAAAGGGAATTGCTGAGACATAAACTACAAAATGAAAGCCAAATCAGGGCAGCAAGCATGACAAAGCAAACTAAATTACCAACAGAACCAGGAAGATTAGAGACTCAGAATTTGCTAGGAGAGGCTTAGAAAGGGGCTCTCTGCTAACAGTAATGGAACAATAGACCATGGAAGAGAACTGCATGTTGAATAATCAAAGATCAATGAGTAATCAAAGATCAAGATTCCTCTTTGTCTGATCATACTCAATGTAATACATGCATCAGGAAAAAAAAGAGAGGATATTTACATTTTTACATTCCACTTAGAAAATTACAGATCTACTTTACCCAAATAACTCTACTGGGATCCCTGAGAAGTCACACCACCTGACAGAGAGCAAGGCTCTGAAATCTTGGTTATCTTTTTGCAATTTCTGAAGAGAGCGAGCACTTCCCAGGGACTTTCTGCTCCCTGACTGC